TGTGGGGGAAGAATAAAATTTCCTTCAACCTTTTTAGCTTCAGTGATGGGGGACTGCAAATTAAAATTACGAGATCTACCAAAAGCTGCAGCTGGCTTGGCTAATGGCTACAGAAGGGGTTTACATTCCTAACCACTAGGGGAAAGGGAGAGGGGAGAAAATGGGATCTATGGAAAGAACAAACAGGTATTTTTTAAGGGAAAGACAAATATATTTTTAAGGAGAACAAATGGAAGACTAGAAAGTTTGCAATAATGTTTGTATATGTAGGTTCTTGTGGTTTTCTGCCTTCTTTGTGGCCAAGAAACTCTCCCAGGGACTGAATTTATGGCACCTCATCTCCCAGGAGTTGCTGCTTTCACAGAAGGGTTCTTTCTTCACTGACTGAATCTCAAATGTCTTTAGCTTAAAATTGACTTCATACCCTCTCTGGGAGTGGGTCCCTATATCCCTTTTCAACCTTTGTCTAATCCTTAGTGATGTCTACATTCTCCTGAATCTTAGAATGTTTCAAAACCTTATGTCACAAAACCTTTAGTTATAATTACAGAAAACCCAACTAACATAGACTTTAGGTATGTGGGAAAGTTTGTTGATTCACCTACCTGGGAAATTAAAGAGTAGATATCATCATGTTCTCTCTCTCTACCAGTGTTGCTTTCATCTACATTGGTTCTTTTCTCAGGAAAGTTCTCTTTTCTTGGTGAGAAAAATGAGAGGGGGGACCTTCTCTCATTTGCTTTAGTAAATGTCCAGAATTAGTTTCAATTGGTTTTTTGGATGATGGAACTACCACTGGGCCAGGGATGTTCCAACTTGCTAAATCTGGGTTATATGCCCACCCCTGAACCAAGTTGTAGGCTCAATTGCTCATCTATTGAAAGTAAGTAAAAAGTGGTTCTCTAAAAAGAATTCACATACTAGTAAGTAAGATGAATTTTAGTATCCAAAAAGAATAGATACTCCTTATAATTTGTAAATGGTTGGCATGTAGTTAAATAATATTCTTAAGATTTATGGCAAAATTATTGCTTACTTAATGTTGGAGATACAGTATAATGTAATGCCAGAATGTGAGAGGTTATAATTAATAGGTACAAGAGCTTTCCAAAGGAGAAAAATAGTGGATAAGACACCAGAATATGAACAAAACTTAATTGAAGGAGAATTAATTATGGAGATTTTATAAACAGCATGGTGGCTATAGTTAATAATACTGTATTGCATACTTCAAATTTGCTAGGAGAATAGATCTTAATTGATCTCACTACAACCCCCCCCACTATGCAAAGTGATGGGTATGTTATTAGCTTTATTGTGGTGACAATTTCACTATATATATATATATATATATATATATATATATATGAAAATGTTATATATACACATAATTTTTATATATCAGACCTCAGTAAAACTGGAAAAAAGGAAATATAACCCCTGAACACTTACCACCCTCAAAAACACCTCAAAATAGAATTGAAGGAAATTTATATTTATAGTCACTTGTACCATCTCTCCCGATAATGGTCATGTTAATGGTCCTGGGTTTGGGCTGAATGGTGATAGAATGGAGAAACTGATCTTGGACAAGAAATATGAAAATACTGTGATCTGGGCAAGGATGTATTTCTTAAAGTTTTTGTCACAATATCAAGTCCCAGAGATGGGTGTCATGAGATCAATAAGGCTTCCTAAGTTTCAACACATCAAACTGGGCTCTGGTGTCTTGGTGTTATCCTGGCAACCTCAGGGGTGCTTGTTAAGGGAGGTCTCAGGAGGAGCCAAGCAATTAACAAGACCTTTCTGAACCAAGTAAACTGATTCTCAATATGTTTGTGTTCTTGGTCTGATCTATCACTTTCATAGGTAGATGGGATTCTCCCCTTAGCTTTCCACATATGGAAGGTGACTGAAGAGGTTTATTGATTGTTGTAGCAGAGGACCCTTCATCACTTTTCTCTCCAACTAACTGTATTTCTGGACATTCCCTCTCACTTTGGTTTGAGAAATAACTTTAATTAACAAAAGTAAGACTAATTCTGTGCTCACAATTAAAATCAATGTCAATTCGGATGACTCATTTTACTTTTAATATTTACTAATGACTTTTTTCACCAGGCACACAGCATTTTAATTCGACATAAACATAAAGGGCCTTTGTAAATAATAACAAATAAATTCATGCAATGCATAATTGACCGGCTGAAGTCATTGTAACTTTTTCATTTTGTTCTGATTCTCATAAAATTTCTAGCAAATACTTAATGAGACCTACTGTGTATCAGGCTTGACCCTGCAAACCATGGATCAAAGATATTTAAGGCATAAATTCCATAAAAAGATTTACATATGCAGCCCAGATGTTTCCAACAAGCTTGTGACTCCTAGATATGTTGACTTCTATGGTTTATCTCTATGTGTTTAGATTAATAGGCTTCCTTGCCTCATCTCAACTTTTCCTCTCTCTAGGAATCTACAAAAAAGTGAAACAGTCATGTAGGTTTATGTCAACAACCACCATCTGCCATGCCTCAATTTTGTGGTCTTCCCTCACTAATCATTATCCACTACATCCTGGCTTGTCCATGTTGATGATGCCTGGCCTCTGTATTTCTGAGCTTGTGCTGCCTACCCAAGGGCACTGATGATGCCTGCCTTTGGGGCTCACTTCTCTCTTTGCTTTGTTGGGAATTTCTTTGCTCCACCCTTTTGCAGGATGAACACATGGATGGGAGTGAGGTGGTGGAAGACAAAGGATATCTGGCAGTAGAATTGCTTAGGTTCATACTTGTAATGTTATTTCACTTTTCCCTGGTAATCTTTTTACCCTGTGGTATGTAAACCACAGGGATGGTGGATGAGTCATATGGGTAATATTGAGCCTCATTTGAACCCAGAGCCAATGTTTACATCTATTGAACATTCTTTTTGTCTCGCTTATGGTGACTGAATTAGTCAGATCTGTCTGTCTGTCTGTCTGTCTGTCTATCCATCCATCCATCCATCCATCCATGATCAGGACAGAGAGAGGAGAGAGGATTTGTTAGAGGAATTGTCTTGTGCAACTATGGAGACTGAGAAATCCCACGACAAGCTGGAGACCCTAGGATGTCAGTACAGGCCTCAGTCCAAGTCTGAACGTCTTAGAATCCAGAGAGTCACTAGTATAAGTCCTAGATGTCAAAGGTTGAAAATCCTGGAATTCTGATGTCTGAGGACAGGAGAGAAAGAGTCTGTGTTAGATCCTGGAAATAGATGGACAGACTTGCTTTCTGTCTGTTTTTCCAGGGCCCCTGCCAATAGGATGGTGCCCACACACATGGAGGGCAAACTTGCCTGTGTAGACTATTCAGACTCATGTGTTAATCTCCTTTGAAAACACAATCACAGACACACTAAAAGTGGTAGTTTACCTGGTGATTTTATTATGTACCTAATGGTTCTATAGGTTGACCAGGGTTAAGCTGGATAGTTACACTAATCTTAATTGAGATCATTCATGCAGTTGGTAGTTACATCTCTCTATATTAGAGTTATCTAGATTTGACTGGGATAATAAGGGTCTTCTCATTCTCCAAGTAGCCTTAGGCCTCCCCTTTTCTGACTTTATGGCTATGCCACAGGATCTCTGTAGCAAGAATTCTTACTTGGCAGCTTATGGTTTCCCAAAACAAGTATTAAAGATGGAAGAAGCAAAGGCTGTCATTTTTTTTGTAAAGGCTAGAATGGAGATGGCATGGCATCACTTTTGCTACATTCTAGTGTTTAACTCAAGTCACAGGCCAGGCAATATTTAAATGGAAGAGTACTACTATACAGGACATACATATAAGCTTGGTGTGACTATATAAAAATATCCATTTCAACTATCTTACAAAAAGAAAAAAGTTATTTTGGCTCATGGTTCTGCTGGTTCCAGTACAAAGTCAGGTAGTTCCATAGCTTTGGGGCTCTAATGCTGGTGGCCCATCGTGGGGTGAGCACACGATGATTAAACTGCTCACATCAGGAGCCAGGAAGAGGAGAGATGGGATGTAAGCAAACACTTTTGAAGGAGCTCACTCAATGAGCCAGGACCTCCCACTCGGCCCCATCTCACAAGGTTTCACCAATATCTTGGGATCCAAACATTTAACACATGGGTTCTGAGAGGCGCTATCCATATGCAAACCATAGCAACCTGAGTCTTGAGAGTTGTCGTAAAATGGGACCCTACTTGGAGACTGGCTACCACAGTCCACCCTCTATTTCCTTGTGACTGGGACAGCTCTCTCTCTTCATGTCATCCCAGGCCTCTCCTCTCCACATGGCCTCTCTGTATAGTGTTCGTAGTCGGGTAGCTGGAGTTCTAACACTGTGGCTTTAAAATCCCCAATGGAATGTTCCAAGAGCGAAGAAGCAGAGGCACATGGATCTTTTAAAGGCTGGAATTGGTACTATGTCACTCTTTATTGGAAGTTTTATTGGAAATCCTGAGTCTGTGTAAGCAGGGACTATCCAAGGATGTGGAGACCATGAGTCATGCAATTGGGAGCCATCTTTACAGATTAGCTAACACAGTGTATACAACTAGATATTTGCAATTTGGAGACAGCAAGATTGGGGTAAGACACCTTAATTATGGAAATGATTGTGTTAGAAGTTCTGCTACAGTTCAGTGAGGAACCTCCCTACATTCGCCTAAGTCTGTTTTTGTACACGTGTGTAGGTAAATAGATATTTGAAGATGCAAACAGTCATTGCCTTTTGACAGATGTTTCAGGACACACACTTTCCTAGGTAAGGTGATACAGAGGAAAATGAGAAATATAAGAAACATCATCCTAGAAGCTAAGGGATTCCTTGTCTAACCCAAGTACACAGTATAGCAATGTGACCCTGGACAAGTTCCAACTTCTCTGGCTCTTGGTTTTAGTCCTTAAATAAGAACTCTTTCTTATTTGAAATTCTAGGACACTAATGGAATGTTTTACTTTTTTTTGTTTTTTTGGTACCAGGGATCGAACTCAGGACCTTGCACTTTTGAGGCAGGCGCTGAAACCACTGAGCTAAATCCTCGGCACCAGAAAGTTTTACTCTTACACACCTTTCAGGATTAAGCTGAAACATTATCTGCTCCATGATGCCTTCCCCAAATCTAATTGCGACATGCATAATAAATGAGGTAAAGTTCTCAGATTTATGGCCACTGAGCGATGTAAACAGTTTTAAATGCTTAAATAATTTATAGAATAAGTGTTTTGCTAAATTAAACAATGACTTGAGTTACCTAGCTATGAGATGAAAGCAGTATTTGTCAATTTTTAATCTTTGTTATCATGGATATAACATAGATGAAACTCTTGGTATAGATTCCTGTTTCAATAATCATGCGTGTTGTAGTCAGAATAGGCTGACCGCTAAAACATACAACTTGAATATTTCAGTGGCTTAACATGAGTTTGGTTGTTTGCTCAGGCAATAGTTCGACCTAGATGTTCACGAGCAAGCACATCCCGGGTAGCTGTCCTCTACGAGTTCGTTTCCACCTTGTTTCTTCATTTTTCTTTCTGTCTTTTATTTCAAAGTATCTTTCCACTATGAATGTAATGGTTATGTACTACAAACATGTATTAATAAAAAAGTTTAGTTTTTACACTTAGATTTATGATGTCTCAATTTTTGCGCTTATTGTGAGGAGGAGTCATGGTTTATTTTTCCCTCCTTTCCCTTTCCATATGTAGTCAGTTATTCCAGCACTACATGTCGGGAAGATTTTTCTTTCCTCAGTGGAGTGTTTTGGAAACTTTGCCAAACATTAATTGACCATGAATGTGTAAGTCTATTTCTGTACTGTGTTCCACTGATGTATGTAACTATTCTTTGCCAGTACCACACATTGTTGTTATGGTAGCTTTAAAGTAAGTTTTGAAAACAAGTAATTCTTTTTGAAATTTTTGTGACTAATCAAAATTGTTTGCTCTTCCATATAAATTTTAGAATGAGCCTGACGATATTTAGTAAAATAGTGTGCTGGCATTTTTCTTGAACTGGAACTCATCTACATATTGCTCTGGAGAAAATTGACATCCTAACAATGGTGACTCTTCTAATTAGTGAATAACTGTATTTCTTTTTATATCAGGGCTTTAAAAATTTCTCTAAACAGGGCTGGGGATTTAGCTCAGTGGTTCTGTCACCTGCTGCGCAAGCGCAAGGACCTGAGTTCGATCCTTGGTACCAAAAAAATAAATAAATAAAAATTTCTCTAAACAGTATTTTGCAGTTTTTGGTGTAGATGTCTGAACAGTTTTTGGAGGGAGAATACTGGAAATAGAATTCAGGACCTAGTGTTTGCCAGGCAGGCGTGGCACCGCTGAGCTACATTCCCAGCCTGAACATATTTTTATTTGTTCCTGAGTGTCTTCTATTTGTGATACTGTAAATAGCATTTCATAAAATTTATTTCACAGTTGAAACAAACAGTATCTCTGAGAGCTTCTCCTTTCAATTGCCAGGTGAGGTGAGAGGCAGAATTGCAAATGGAAAGTTTTTATATTGCAAATCTAGAAGTCTTGCTTGTTTCTTCTGCATGCATTTCATTGGCCAGTGCTCTGTCACAGTACCCCTCCCCCATAGCTTTAGGGGAGGCTGGGAAGTGCAGTTTTGCTGTGTGCCCAGAAAAGAAAGAAATCATTTACCAGTAACTAGTATCTTTTTCCACAATGTCCTTTCTTATGTTCATCATATTTTACTCCAATGACCGTTGACATTTATTCATCTATATGTACATTATATATTTTTTTGCTTTGATTTTAGAGTATATGAGTAGAAAAATGAGAGAAATGTCTAGATAAATTTTGAACAATCATCTAATATATCTCTGAATCTTTGTATTTATGGTAAAGTGGCTCAGGGTTATGACCTTAGGGTGGGATATGCGGAAGAAGGTTTCTCAGTAAATACTTTCTCTAATATACTAAATGCTCTGTGTAAGACTGAGGGCCTTACCAAACACTCCGAGGAGCTGACTGCAGCGAAGAACACCCAGGAGGGAACACACCGGACAAGTTGGAAAAGTAAAACAGACCTTTATTAGTCTGGCCAGACGGCACCCTCCAAGCAAACAAGCTTAGAGAGGGCCCCGAGCTCAGGGTGTTGGAAGGTTTTATAGGGGCTGCAGGGGTGCTTAGCAAGAAGAACTACAGAAGCGGAATTTTTGCGGCTAGGGGACGGTTGGGGGGGGCGGTTGCAGATGTTCTTTACTTAGCAAACAGGATGTTCCTTACACAGAAACCATGGTACATTCCATGGTGTCTTAACAGATAAATAAGTACATTCTGGGAACTCTGTGTCCTGTAGTGAACCCGAAACCCACAGAGACAAGATGGAGGGCCTGTAACAAGATGGCGCTACTTGTGCTAAGTCTCATCTGGGTCTTACACTGTTAAAAGAAAAAAGAATCTTAGTTTAAAATTGATAATTTCTTACAGCGAAAGTGCTGCTTCAAAGTAATTTCTTCTTTTCGCTCCTAAAATATTTAAATACAAAGTGATTGGAAGATTACAGTCTGAAGAACAGAATAAATAAATCTCACCATTTGAATGATTTTGCACACATCACTTCTCGGGCTTTTGGCTAAGATCAAGTGAATGATTTTGCATTTCAGGAGCCCCTGGGATCCTTTCTGTTCTCACCCCCTCAAGTAGCCAGAGTCATTAGCAACAGGGGACTGCTTAATTTCTAGACCATTCAGGGGAGTGCTGATGCGAGAGATGTGCACAGTGTCAGATTTATGAAGTGTAAGAAAGGCGTTACAGCCATCGGGCAGAATTTACTTCCATGCTGCTAGTTCATCGCAATTCAGATCAGCAGAAAATCATTTCCTTGGCCATATGTTAAGGGGTGTGCCCTTTTTGGGTAAATTCTGTATATGTGCCACTGCTTGATAAATGAATTTTAGTAAAACACATTGAAGATTAAAAGGACAGTAAAGAGACATCATATTTTACTGTACTCATGTCACAAATAGTATCTTGTTTATAGAAATGCTGTAAGGTTAAAAATGGACTTAGCTGTTAGTTGTTGGGATGGAGAGAAAAGTCACTATGATAGTAAAGAAATGTCAAAGTTTAACTGCTGTTCTCACTGCTGTGACTTCAGATTAGATTCTGAAAATGGAGTTAAAGAGTTCTTTTTTGAACATACAATGAGACTGTTTTAGTCTCAGTGATGTTTTTGCCAGAAATTTCTTCCTTGCATGATAATTAGATCCTCCTCTAATTTAGCGTTAATCTTTTACTTCAAAATTCTACCCATATAAGTTTTGAATTTTGAATTAAAAATATGGAATTGTATTGTTGCTGTCATAATAAAATGAATATAGTTTCATTATGTAAAATTGAAAAAATGCAGAACAGTAGAGAAGCAAATGAAAGTTTATTATTAGCCATCGACAATCACAAGTTATCATTTTGGACTTTTCTATTCTTAGTATAGATATAGAGTTTATATGACTTAATTAGTTGTAATCATATTACATATACTATTTAATTATTTTTAAAATAAAGCATTATTACTGTAGAAAATTCAGAAAATATAGAAAGGTAAA